ATTCAAAATATTCGAAATCCATTAAACAAATAAAAATGAAAAAGGAAATAATAAATGACAAATTCAAGGATTAGGATTATCCATCTGTCAATAGTCATTCGCATCTTCTATACTTGAATTGCTGCTAGTTAAATGTTTTTTTCTGTGTTGAGCCATCCAATATTTGTTTATTTTGACTTCGACTTCATCAAATTTACTCGATTGGGTATACCAAAGGATAGGAAAAGAAGAAAAAGTTGTATATAAGCACATCTAATTCATCCACAAAGATTAAATTGATGAATAAGAATCAAAGAAATATAAAGAAGAGAGAATTGGAATGAATTCCTCCTTTCATTTTCATGTCCCTAGGAAAATTGGGGGAGCATGTGGGAATGGTTTATATATTATAGCCCAACTATCCATCTAGGATTAGTTACTAATGAAAGAAATGGGTACAAAACCAAAACAAATTATAAATGTATAGCTATACGCACTTGAACTGTAGACCTTCTCGGTAATATGGATCAAACTGATTATTATCGAAATGATTCGAACACCGAGCTATTCTATTGGGAATAATGAGGGCATCTCTGAATACTCAAAGTTTCATATCAGAAACGAGTTTCCAAGAAACCACTTGGGTTCAGTGAAAGCCGCTCTCCGAGGTTGTATTGATTGGTTGAAAGGCTTGAAAGAGAATGTTGTTCTGTGAGGTGATAACAATGTCACTCAATCATTATCATCACCATCAACATCACCACCACCACCATCATCATCATCATCTTGGGTCACTCAATCATTATCAAACTGACTGCAATCTTTTTTTTGTTCGTGTGTATCCCATTAGAGCACCGTCGTATAAACCATGAACTAGATCAGAATCATTCTCAATGAATCCATAAGAAGTGATGCAATTTTTTACATTGGGTCCAGGTGGAGACCAAAGATCTTGAGCGACTGATCCGGTAGAACAACTCAATAAAAGCTGTAGTTCCAAGTTCGAAGTACCATTTGTACAAATAAGAGCTGTAGCAAAGAAAGAGACTTCATAGGAGCTGAGATATGAAGAAATAGGATATGGCCTTTGTATATCTGTGCTTCAGATGATCCACAATGAAACTATAAGGAATCAAGATTGAGCATCAGTCAAGCGGCTCTCCAGTTGACCTGGTTTGCAGTGTGTAGGAAGAGTTCAACCTCCATCCCCTCCATCACATAAATCTATCCTTTTACTGCAAACACCTTAGAACCACAAGCCTTATAGGTTATACAAGTTCCAAAAACTGTGGCACTCTTCCCTATGTCCCAGGGTAATGAACTATGAACTGCCTAAGGTGCATCGCTCCAGTGCCAAAGCAACACCAGCTAGTGTAATTTTCAGTGACTGATGCCTATTACTGTGACCTCTTTCCTCGTGGTAGTCTTTAAGAAAAATAAAACCTTGATTGGTCTTGCCTGGAAATGATAAAGAGAATAAAATATCAGGTCCCTGACATTGTCTATTTACTTGTTTCTAGAATAGTTAACTGTAAACTTTTCTTTGCTGGCTTTGTTGTCGAGCCAACTTAGATGTACATTAATGATTAAAGATTCTTTATTCATCTCCCTTTTGTTGTGAAGTTTAGATGTGAAGATCAGCATACAATTGACTTGGTCTTCTTTTGCTGAACTATTAAAGCTTGAACCTTTTTATGAGCTGTTGATCTGTCTAAGAGTTCTTACTGTTAAGTTTCCTCCTGATTCTTTTCTTCATTGAATCACTCATATTGGTCCTTTGCGCTTGGTTGATCTTGTTATGTTTTTATATTTATATTCTCCAATGCTGAATGGTGATTGTTGCTCACTTTTTTCTAGGTACACTCTGGTTTTTATTTGCTTCTAGAATAGTGAACTGTAAACTTTTCTTTGTTGGCTTTGTTGTCGAGCCAACTTAGATGTAAACTAATGATTAAAGATTTTCCATTTATCTCCTTTTGTTGTGAAGTCTAGATGTGAAGATCAGCAGATTCTCCATTCATCTTTTGTTGTGAAGTCTAGATGTGAAGATCAGCATACAATTGACTTGATATTCTTTTGCTGAACTATTAAAGCTTGAACCTTTTTTCCAGCTGTTAATCTAAGAGTTCTTACCATAAATTTCCTTTTGGATCTTTTCCTCATTGAATCCTTCATATTGGTCCTTTGCACTTGGTTGATCTTGTCATGTTTTCATATATTTAGATTCTCCAAAGCTGAGTGGTGATTGTTACTCACTTTCTTCTAGGTGCACTGTGGTTTTATGAAACATGGTGGGGCGGAGATGGAGGCAATGGATGTTAAATATGTCAAGAAATGCAAGTTTGTGGTGGCTTCTGGTATTTTTGATGGTTACGATACCCCCCATCAGCCATCAAATATCAGCACTCGGTCGAAGAAGCTCTTTTGCTTTCTTATGGTGGTGGACGAGATCTCCTTTACTAACATTACAAAAACTGATGCTGTCACAGAGGACAGTGATGGTGGAAAATGGGTGGGGATTTGGCGTCTTATCGTACTTCACGAACCTCCTTATGATGAACCCAGAAGGAATGGGAAGGTGCCTAAAATCTTAACGCACAGGCTGTTTCCTCAAGCCCAATATAGCATTTGGATTGATGGAAAAATGGAACTTATTGTTGACCCTCTACTTATTCTTGAACGGTTTGTTTACCTCTCTTTGTAACATACATCTACCTGTCTTTTCATGAAAAATTGTTTCTCCTTCTCATATTGTATGATATACAGTTAAATGGGTTATTTGAGTGGCAGTTACTTGTGGCGAGGAAGGAACACATTTGCCATCTCCCAGCATAAGCACCATCGGAGTATATATGAGGAGGCTGATGCAAACAAGAGAAGGAAACGTTATGCCAGGCCTCTGATCGACTTGCACATGAAAATCTATGTATATGAAGGAATGGAAGCATGGAGCCCAAAAAAAAGAACACCCAGTGGTGAAAAAGAACCTAGTCTCACTTGTTTTTTTTCCATTGGATAATTTCCCTATATTTTCAGTACCTTTGGGATGAAAGCAATCTCATCCTCAAATTCTCAAAACCAAACTTCTATTATGCCCTCATGATAGTTCTGCTTGTTTTTTCCCTTCTGATAATCTCACCATATTTTCAAAAGATTTTGCACAAAACCAATCTGAATTTTCAGAGATATCAATTCCTTAACCAATCTTAAGTCTTGTAGTGTAAGCAAAGTGAGCTTTGTCACTTTGCTCTGTACGTCTGTAAATTCCTCTCTTGTTTTCCCATTACTGAATGCTAATTAATGCTAAAATGCAGATGTTCCAGAAGGGGCCATCATCATCCGAGAGCATACGCCGATGACTAACTTGTTCAGCTGCCTGTGGTTCAATGAGGTGAACCTCTTCACACCAAGGGACCAGCTGAGTTTTGGCTACGTTGTATACAGGTTGAAAGGCGCATTCAAATTCTTTATGTTCCTGAATTGCGAATACAATTCCTTGTTCATATTGCACAGGCACACAAGAGAGCATTCTTCCAAGGTCGAATGGGTGAAAAATGTAACGGAACTCGAGAAAAACTCAAAAATGAAAGAAAGCAAGGGAGGGTTGGGGCTCTGGACTCCATATCCTGGGGATTTAGCCTCAGTGGAAATCCCCCCTGCTCCTCACATAAAAGAGTAAAGAATTAAAGAGTAGAGATGTCTTCCATTTTGTGAAGTTCTTTTTATTTTCTCGGTAGGTAATTTTCAGGAGGAAAGCTGTAAATTATTTCCAGATGTGTCATGATGGTGAACTGGGTATCGTCATTCTTTACAGTATTTAATTTATTGATTATTTCTTCCTGCTAATATTCCCGGCTTCTTGTGCAAATCAATAATCTTCCTGCTAGTATTCCCGGCTCTTTGTGCAAACGGCTTCTAATTTGAAAAATATATGAAAAAGGTTAAAATAAGATCAAGGCTCTGTGGAAAAAAATAAAGTCTCGTGTTAAAACTCCAAAAAAAATTATAGTTCGAGGGTCAGAAAACCTTCAAATCAATTATCTCGACCTTGATAATTATGGTTGTGGAAAAAAAATAAGATTTCAAGTCCTAAATAGTATAAATGTATTGTAACACATTATCTAGACGTTTATTTTCAAGTGCTCACGGATTCATAAGATTTATACTATTTTTGAGCTACAAATTTCATAATAAGTGGTGCAAACAAAATTTTAAAGAGATTTCTCATGTTCGAAATGCAAGGTTTTCTCCATAAAGCTTATGTCATGTAGAAATTGCATCCAACATATATACACATTTGGAAGTTTTGAACCATTATCCAATGTCAACATTTATAACATATAAAAATTCACCATTATTCCTTGGCCAAGTGAAGCATTGAGCTTTGACGTATTTGGTCTTTCTTGCTTCAAGCTAAATATTTTCATTGTCGAAAGCTATTGAACGGGAGAGAATTAGGCGCCTCCCTTTCCCAACTGGTAAACCAAATACCTCTCTCTGTCCCCAACCCCCAAACTGGGTCCGAATATGGTTATCCAGTGTATTTTTATTATATTATAATGATATAGTAAATATGAAATCATTATATATATATATTTATATAAAGCTGGGTTAACCTACTAGCATATATGAACATACGAGTCTAATGGTTTGGATTGAATCAGGGCTGATCTGACGATCACGGATATCCGATAGTATTTCCAAATCACTTGAAATTTTAAGCGTGCGTTAAAAAAAAAAGAACTGAATCTTCGAAAAATATTAAAAAATTATTTTACATCAAAATATATTAATCAAAATACCCCTAAAAAATTTCGAGAGGTATTTTGGTCATTTTTTTTCACAAATAATTTTTGTTATATATTTTTATTAGGTGCGCTTTGATGAGAATAACACACACCTAAAATTTCAAGTGATTTGAATTTGTAGAAAAATAAATAAAATTCAAACACTATCGGATATCTGTGAT